GGCCCTCACCGCGCCTCGGGGCCGTCAAGAAACTGCGCGGGAAGAAAAAGGTTCCGACGCCGGCGGCGTGCGGAGGGGCGCGGGGGCAGGGAACGCGACGAGCACCCGGGACACAAAGTCGCCCGCCCAACAGCGGCCACTGTCGGATTTGGACCCTTTGCTGTTGACGACCTACCAGACCACGCCAACCCAAACCGAAGACCCGAATTTCGGGTTTGGGGGGGTGCGTACGGGTTCCAGATGTGTTTTCTCGATGTTCCCCGACCCCGCCCCCACTGGGAATGGAGAGCAAAGTGAGGCCTGCGGGTTGGGTTGGGGTGGGCTGGTGGGTGGTAAGTTGCTGGGCAGTGCACCAATTTCTCACGTGCCCACTTCGGGCGCGCCGATTGGCACAGTGTACGCCTCGCCTGTCTCCACCGACCCGTCCACAGGCGGTGCTCGATTCAGGGTTTGCGGGACCCGGCGAGGAGGAGGAGGAGAAGGAGAGGAGGAGGAGGAGGAGGAGGAGGAGGAAGAGGAGGAGGAGGAGGTGTAGGAGGAGGAGGAGGAGGAATCGGAATCGAAATCGGCCCCATCGCAGTGCGAAGAATGACAGAACGACAACAAGCCAGACCCGAACTACGAGGACTTCGCTCGGTTCGAGGACTTACCCTGATCCTTGGGCCATAGCCCTTCGGAAAACCTCTGAATGTACATCTTGCGAGTGTCGGTCAACACTTCATCGCACGCTTTGGCCAAGGTTGGCCTCAGCTGCTGACTAGCGAAAGAACCACACTTCTTACAAATCCAACACTTCAGAGACACATGATAAACCATTTTGTGGGATTCGTGGACCCAGCCCCCCCCGATATGTACCTGTCGACCCCTCGGCAGCCTATAAAGAACTGAACCAACAGACACAGGAGGGAAACACGGGCTCTTCGCCACAAAGTGGCGGCGTCGGCAGACGAGCTACAAAAGCAACGCACACATCGCCTCGACGACTCGTCGAGGCTGTGGACGGTCTCAAACACCGAGACCGTGCAAGGAGAGGGGGGAGGTAGGGGCCGCTCCTGCCTTGAACTCGATGCACTGGGCCTCGGAGGAGCACACGCGATGGCCTCCAGCGTAGAACGGAGGAGACGCCTGCGGACGAGTGCAGCGTCGCTCTCGACCTGTGCAATTTTGGCTCGGACCACGATACTGACACGAGCTTCTGCGGCTGCCACGCGGGCAAACTCGTCTGCTGCTTGATTTCCCACGAACATCCACTCAGGCCGAGAAGACGCAACCACCAGGGAGGCCTCGAGGTGAGAGGGCACTTGCATGACAGTGACCAGTGACATATCACGACCCTCGAGAGCCTTGCCGATGAGCTTCCAGACTGCTTGATTAGACCCCGACGGGGTCATATATAACTTATTGAACCACCCGTCGATAACCCCGCTGTTGTCGGTGATGTACACCAGGGCCCCGCAGGAGAACTTGATGGCCAACAAGAGTCCCCACAGCTCCCCGCACGGAACCGTTTGCACGAGACCTGGCAACGGACCGAAAACAGCAGCACGGACCTCGGGCTGACTGAAACTCGCAAGGGTGCAGGCGGCGACGCCGACGCGCCGAAGCCGAGAGTCGCGGCTATCTTCGCCACCGCTCGCGTCCCCAAAGACGACGATGGGGTCCTCGACGGACCCATGCCCCAGGCCCCCACTACCATGAAAATCGCCACTGTCATGATAAACTCTCCAAGACTCACCTGAAGAGGGAGGCGGAACTTTGGTCCAGGGAGCAGGAATGGCCCCACGGAACCAGAAGCAAGACTCAGAGCCCTGCCCAGAAATCGCTCTCGGGACCAGATGGTCCGACTCCCTATATACTGAACTGCCTGTGTTACATGGACACGTCCATCCACGATGCAGCGGAGTCTCTGGCTCCTCGCCGCAACGCTGGCAGATCTCGCTAACGTCGGCCTTGGTTTCGTCCTTGACCCTGGACTTCGGCCAAGTCTCACCGACGGCGATCGCAAAGAGTGTCTCTGCGAGCTTGGCCCCAAGCTTGGGCACGTCGCCGAGAGCCTTCAAAACACGCCTGTACGACAAGTTGTCGGCACCGTGCTGCAGCCCCTCGCCGCAGAAATGCCGAATGGCTGTGGCCCACTGTCGAGCGCGAACCGAATCCTCGAACTCCTGGATAAGCCCGCTGATATCTTTAGAACCCGATACAACCTCATCGGGAAACGTCCAGATTGCACCTGGTCCTTCATCATCGGGGGGCGTATGCCATTCGCTCGGAGAGATCGGGTCCCAACCGTACTCGAGAAGGTAAGCCACTACTGCTGAAATGGGGCCTCGCACTGCTTGGGCTACCTGCCGCTGGGCAAGCTGCCGCAATTGTGAAACAACACGAGGCCACGCTGCACGCACCGCTGGGCGAATAGCAGGCTCCTGCATCCACGTGCGAAGCCATAGCTGTAGACACTCCCTTGGAAGCTTGTACCCTGGATCGTGACCATCGGCCCTGAGGTCCAAAACCGTGGTAAGACACCTCCCGCGGGAACCAGAAGATAACGTATGCCCAAGACGCCGCCGACACTGCAACCGAAATTCACCGAAAACTCCGTACACGTGATGCCCGTACGTACATGCCGCCTGAGCGCCAGCACGTTCGATCATACCAGTCCGAGCATATTTGCGAGAGGCTTGAGCGAAGCGTCGAATGCAAGCGTTCATGACTTTGGTCTTCTGGCTGCGCTTGGTTCTGGTGGCTCTGGCAATGCGGCCAGCACCGAGATCCACTCCTAAAAGACATGCTTGCTGGCCGTGCTGCAACTTAAATCCCCGACGGCGAAGGCGAGCGATCATAGCCCTGCTGTCGGCGACGTTGGAGCAAAGGATGATGCTCTTCTCTGAAACTGGCAGACCATGACCTTCCAACTCTTGGCACGTTGAAAGGATCCCACGGTACAAGTTGGCACGTACCGCCTTCCTAGAACCTGCATAGTGCTGGGTGAGATCGTCGATCCATATGCGGAAAGACATGTCTGGGGTCGCCCTCGTTAACTTCTGCTAGATAAAAATAGACAAGACATCGGCCAAAACGAGTACCACTCCGAAGCCCCTGGATGATACTCTGCGACGCCTGGAAAGCCTCTGAATAGGAACCCAACTGAGCCACGGTGCGGGGCGCCAAACACATCTGGAGCTCCAAGAACAGCACCACAGGAGGGAACCCCAGACGCAACGCGGAAGACGCCAGAGGGCCCCACTGCACCTCATCATAGAAGCCCTTGATGTCGATAAGGCCCTCGCCGAAAGCCGTGCCAAGACGAAACATCGATTCATCCCGAAGAGCACGTAAAAAGGCTTCTCGAAGTGCGGAATTCCCTGCGACGGCGGCGTCCCAGGCTGGTTCGTTGTCCTGTGACCACGAGCGCACATTGTCCTCACGGGCAAGGGACCAGGTCCTAGAGAACATAGACATGAGCCCAATCACCCTGTCACCCCCCGTTTTCTTCCCTAACAGCCTCCCTACCTGGAGGAGGAGGAGGAGGAGGAGGAGGAGGAGGAGGAGGAGGAGGAGGAGGACGAGGAGGAGGAGGAGGAGGAGGGGGGGCCCAAAGGGGCGGGCAGCGAGGAAGCCTCCCAAGGAGGGCCCCCTCCTCCTCGGGAGGCTCCTCGCCTCCCGGCACCCTCCTCGGCCCTGGCCCTTCGGGCCTGCACGGCGCAGGGATGCTGGGAGGCGACCCTTGGGTCGGGCATGTCCTCCTACAGGCGGGTTTTGAAAGCAACGCTAAGCTAAGGGGACGTAACTGGGGGAACCGCGGGGCGGATACTGGGGGAACCGCCCGGGGCGAGTTGCACTGCCCGGCCCTTTAAGCATACCGAGCAAGAACCCTTCTAGGCAGAGCCTAGGTAGGGAAAAACATTATCAAAGCACCAAATAAAAACACGGAACATCGTCACCAGACTATCTCTTCACGGCTCTCGAGTATTCCTCCTCCCGTTGAGGGACCTGCCCGAGTTACGGCTGCACGGCCCCCTTCCCGGGCCGCGCGGGGAGCCTCGAAGGCCCCGCGGAGGGCCTCGCGCGGCCGCCGGGGGGGGGGGGCCCGGGTGGCAGCGAGGACCGCGAGGGCCGGGTGCACGTAGGAGCGGCGCTGGCTGGGCAATGGTGGCCCTTTGGCTGCGCGGCTGTTGGGGGGCGCGAGGCGGCCACACACAAGCGCGCAAGACACCACTGTCGCACCGCACGCGGCCATCGGGGGACCCCAGTGGGCCCGCACCAAAGGTCACTCCGGTTGAGGGTCCCTCTCACGCATCACTAGTCAACTAGTCGAGAGGGGGGGGGACGACGCGAGGGCTTCTGGCCCCTCCGGGCCACCCGCGTCCGGCCGAGCTCGGCGCGCCCCTTCCCTGGAACGCAGCGCCCCTCCAACGGGGACTCCACTGACGGGCACGTTGGCCAGTGACCCGGCGGACCCAACCCTCCCCGATGTGGGCAGCGCTGCACTGCCAGCAAGAGGCCCTCAAAAGGCCAACTTTCGGCAACCTTCCAAAGCACCCGCCGGTGAGCACCCGCTACGGTGCCGCTGATGGCATGGCGGCCCGAGCATTGCCGGCACCTGGAAGGAGGAGCTCGACCTCGGCCGGCTCTGGGCTACCCGCGGCGCTCCACCCGGAACGCCCACGCCAGGGCCGCCACCACATCGGCGCTGCTGAAGGGGCCCGAGGACACACAAATAAATACACACAAATAACAATATTCCCCATATTTTCCCATATTTTCTGGGTTTCTGTCTTCCCCCCCACTTCCCATATTTTCCTATATTTTCTGGGGAATCGACGATTAATTGTGTCTGTGTGTTTCTTTTCCTGCTGAGCTGCACGTGCCGCGGTCGATGCTGCTCGTGGGCCCGCCGGCCCCGTGGCGCCGGCCAAGGCGGACGGGGCCGAGAGGGGGCACGGCGAGCGCGAGCCGAGGCGCGCGGGGGGGGGAGATATTGCCGAGGCCGAGCCCCGGGCGGGCGCCGGGCAGTCCAGGCGCAGGGCCTGCGGGCCGCGGGGGACTCCTCCTCCTCCTGCTCCTCCTGCTCCTCCTCCTCCTCCTCCGCCTCCTCCTCCTCCTCCTCCTCCTCCTCCTCCTCGCGGCGGCGGCGGCCGCCCTCGCCAGGCGGGCCGAAGCCGCAGCGGCCGCGTTCCTGCAGCGGCGGCAGCGGCGGCGAGCGGCAGCGGCAGCGGCGGCGGCGGCAGCGGCTGAGGCCCCGTGCCCGCGGCCGGTGCAGAGACGACAGCGGTCATTGCACCGGCCTTGCAGACGTGCTGCAGCAGATTTCTGCGTGGATTTGTGCCCGAAGTGGCGAGCGAAAAACGAAGTGAATTTTGCGTGGATGATTTTTGGTCTTCATTCCTGGCACAAAAAAATCTGCTCGGAATTCAAGATTCTCCAGGACACTCCGGGCCCACCCTATCGTTTTCCGGACGAAATCTCTCTGCGATGCTGGCGCCATGACAGCAGCAACGGCGACGAGAGGAGAAGGAAAGATGATTGCGACGTTGCTCGCCGTAGCCGGCCCTCCTGTAGCGCCCTCGTCGCCACGGCCGGGTCCGCCTGGGGGGTCCTAGTCGGACAACGCGCTCCAGGACGAGCCCAGGATAAGGCCTAAGATCGCGACGGCGAGGACGGCGGTGGCGGCGAAGACGATGAGATCGACAACGACGACGACGAGGAGGAGGGAGATGACGACGACGACGACGACGACGACGAGAGCAAGAACGAGAACGAGAAGGAGGGGATGATGAAGATGGAGAGGGAAGGCTATGGGGGAAGGAGGAGGGAGGGAGGGAGGGAGGGAGGGGGGAGACGGCAGGGGGGAGTGGGGAAGGGAGGATGGAAAGAGGAAGGAGGGATGTCATGATTACTTCTCTCCCTCCCCCCCCCGCCTTCCCATCATGGCCTTCCCACAGTGACCATCACACTCTTCACCCCACAGCCTTGCCATCACCACAGCCATCGTCATCGTTGCTGTCAGTCTCACCGCCCTCACGCGTCGTGGTCGTGAGATCAGCATCACAGTTGTCACTGTCAACGTCGTCACCAACGTCATCGTCGTCATCAGCACCAGAAGCATCACCATCGCTGCCCCCGCCGTCGTGGTATCCCCCTCCACCTGCATACCTGCAATCACGCCTTTCAGGATTGCACGCGCAGGGCGTCTGTCCTGCAGCGGACCCAGGTTCCTGAGCGGCTCGAGATCCACGCTAACCTTTATCCACTCGAACAGGCAGTCGTCCAAGTCCGTCCCTCGGGCAAGCCACAAGCCCCTTCGACGAGATGCACGATCCACAGGAAAGGAAAGTGGGACAGGAGAAGTAGCGAGGAGGACAGGGAGGGACGGGGGGCAGGAGATTATTTTTCTGGCCCGATCCCTCCCAAAGTGTGGAGCAGGAGGGAGGGGGGCAGGGAGGGGGGGGGAGTGAGAAGAAGAAGGAGTAAGCGGATGAAGGAGGAGAGAGGCCAAGGAGAAGGAGGGAGGAGGATCGACAGGAGGAAAAGGCAAAGGAGGAAGGAGGAGTGCAGAGGGAGGGATAAAGAGGACGAGAGGACGAGGCGGTGCAAGAGGGAGGAGGAGGAGGAGGAGTAGGAAGAGGGGGGAAGGGGGAAGTTGGGAGAAGTGAGAAGGGAGGAGAGAGGAAAGAAGAGGGATGAGTGGAGGAGTGAGGAGAGAGGAGAGAGGATGAGTGATCAGCAGGGAGAAAGAACAAGGAGGGAGGCAGAGGGAGGAGGCATGAGGCAGAAGGGACGTGGAAGGGGACTCTAGGGCTTCTGCCATCGCGTAGGGATACAGTTTACAACAACGTCGCCCTAGATCTTCATGAGAATCGCGACCACAAGGCACCCGTAAGATGCAACACGCACACCCACACACACATAGCTGGACCCGCATGCGCAACATCCAGAGGAGACATGCTGGATGCACAGGTGGAGGACCATGGATGTGGCTCATGCCCGGGCGACCCGCGATCACTTTGCACTGTCGTTGGACTGGGACGAGGGGGGGGGAACACATGGATCCACGTGAGCAGGCCCAGCGCCCCTGTCAAAAAAACAACGGTTGGGATTTGCTTATATCTATATATATGTGTATGAAAAAGACCCCCAAAGAAACAAAACAAACAAAAAAACGCTGCGGCAAATCTGGAACCATGCGCGGACGGCCCGCGATCACTCTGCAACGATTATTTGGCAGGGACGATAGGGGATGCCACGATTATTTGACAGGGACGATAGGGGATGCCCCGGCACCTCCTCCTCCTCCTCCTCCTCCTCCTCCTCCTCCTCCTCCGGATCGTCCTCCTGCTCCTCCTCCTGCTCCTCCTCCTCGTCCTCCTCCTCCTCCTCGTCCTCCTCCTCCTCCTCCTCCTCCTCCTCCTCCTCGCGGCGCAGCTCGCGGGCGTCGCGCACTTGGCTGGCGAAGCGCGCGGGCTCCCTGATGTCGTCACTGCAGGCGTCGGTGTTGTCGTCGAGGCTGGTGGCTGTGCTGGTGCCACTGCTGCCATCGATGCAAGCGTCGCTGCAGGCGTCAGTGGTGACGTCGGGACTGGTCGTCGTGCTGGTGCCGATGCCGATGTCGATGCGGTCGTCCCTGCCGGCGTCGTTGCAGGCATCGGTGTTGGCGTCGAGGCAGATGGCTGTGCTGATGCCAATGCTGTTGACGACGCGGGCATTGCGGATGGTGTCGCTGCTGACGTCGGGGTGGGCGTCGAGGCTGGTGGTTGTGCTGGTGCATGAGGTGATGTCAATGCGGGAGTCGCTGCTATCGTCGCTGCAGGCGTCGGTGTTGACGTCGGCTTGAATGAATGTGCTGGTGCTGGTGCTGCTGACGATGCATGCGTCAATGCTGGCTTCGCTGCAGGCGTCAGCAGAGGCGTCGAGGCTGACGGCTGTGCTGGTGCTGGTGCTGGTGTCGTGGCAGGCATCGCCGTTGTCGTCGCTGCGGAAGTGGGTGTTGACGTCGGGGGTGGTGGCTGTGCTCCTGCCGGTTCTGCTGTCAATGCAGGCGTCGTTGCTGCTGTCGCTGCAGAAGTTGGCGTTGGTGCCGAAACTTGCAGTTGTGCCGATGCCGTTGCTGATGATGATGGGGGCGGCGCTGCAGACGTTCCTGCTGGCGTCTGTGGTGACGTCGACACTGGTGGCGCTGCTGGCGCAGGTGGTGAAGTTGATGCAGATGATCGGATTATTATTTCGGCGGTGGGTTGCAGGGTGCGTCAAATCTCGCGGCAATGACATGTCGCGTGTGCAGCGTAATTTGGGCGAGCGGCTGCACGCGCAAGAAAAAACTTGCATGTGGTGTATATTCAAGGGCGGTGTGTAAAATTCCGTGGGGGCATCGTTTATATACGCCACCACCGTGTTGCCATAGGAAGCCCGGGAGCAATTATTCGCGACCTGATGCGGCCGCCATCTGCGCGCATGACCACGTGGCAAATACTTGCGCTTGGCGGGGGCAGGCAGTGGCATCCCTGTCAAGGCGGTCGCGCGCAGGATTTGTTCCTTTCCCATGGCCGCCTGGTGATGGCGTATACAAAGAAGGGGCCCCGCACTTTTCCCACTCAGGAGGCTCTGGTGGCACCGCGGACAATCTTGGCCCTTGCCAGGTACTAAAGTTTCTGACCGCGCTGCCCCAACTTGCGCCGTTCGGGCGGCGATCGAAGCGGAAATGCCGCGGTGCGCCCATACGGCGGTAGCCGAATCTGTCGCCGCGCCAGGGCGAACGCGCAGCCCGCGCCACCCCCCCCTCCCCCCAGCGATGCAAAGCTGAGCAACGAAGCGACGCGACGACGCCATCGATGAGGTCTATTGCCGTCGTCTCTTGTCGGTCTCCACAGCTTTGCATCAGGGGGTGGGGGGTGGGGGGGCCGGCGTGGCGCTTGTCTTTGCGACTTCCAAGATGCGGTCAAAACTAGAGCACTGCCCGTGCAGTCACCTTGATTCGCGGCGTGGGAATCCCAGGAACTGCGTTTTGGAACGATGGAAGATTCTCGGACAATTGTCGTCCACCCGAGCTCTTCCGCAAAGAAAATAGATTCTTGGACGATGAAGAGGACTCTTGGAAGGAGGGTTCACTGCAACATCGTTGATGCGTCTTGGATTTACACGGGTCCTCCTCCTCCTCCTCCTCCTCATCATCAGCCTCCTCCTCCTCCTCTTCATCCTCCTCCTCCTCCTCCTCCCCCTCCTCCTCCTCCTCCTCCTCCTCCTCCTCCTCCTTCTCATCATCATCATCATCATCATCATCATCATCATCATCATCATCATCACATCATCATCATCATCATCATCATCATCATCATCATCATCATCATCATCATCATCAACATCATCATAATCCTCCTCCTCCCTAGAGCTCGTGGCACTAGTGTCGTTTTGGAGCCCCCCCCCCCCCCCCAAGGGCGGTCGCCCCTGGGGGGATGTGATCAAACTAGGTAGCTGTGAGAAGACACATGGGGTAGCAATCCGACGGATCCCTCAGGGGCGAAGTAGCTAAGTCCCTGAGCACTCTGGGAAGGGGAGGACAGAGAGGGAGAAACGCACGAGACCTCCTCCTCGTCCTCCGCCTCCTCCTCCTCCTCCTCCGCCTCCTCCTCCTCCTCCTCCAAATGCTCGTATTCCTCCTCCTCCTCCTCCTCCTCCTCCTCCTCCTCCCTCCTCCTCCTCCCTCCCTCCTCCTCATCCTCCTCTGCCTCCTCCTCCTCTCCTCCTCCTCCTCCTCCTCCCTCCCCTCCTCCTCCTCCTCCTTCCTCCTGGTATTCCTC